GAAGCTGGAGCGTCAGTATCACTGCACACAGACAGGTCGGGTTCGATGAGCAACGACAACGTTTGGAACCCGACTATACGACATGATGTATAAAACTCTGGCCCGAGCAGAGAGACATAATGCCGGCATTCTGGCGCGGTGTTCATTGTTGTGGGTACAGTCGAAGCCCCCTAATTGCATATCCCGAAACTCGATATTCCTCTTCCAGCGTGATACAGTCCGATCTTGATTTTTTACTGCTCAAAACGTAATAACATAAATTTGATTCCCCCAGCCAACGCAAAGCAAACCGCCGAATGACCAAGAAGCCGCCACCCTCCCAGCACCAAGCGCACCGTGTCCAACCCAGTCACGGAGATAAGCTTGGCGCGGCAATGAAGATGCTCGATGTCGGAGCTCAAGCAATAGGCAAAACCTCGCCTTCGACATGCCCTCAGCTGCAGAGTACGTTGACGCTGGCGAAACGGACGACTTGACGCTCTTGGGGTACCTCACAATCGACCAGATTTGCGACTTCGTGAGCTACGTCGACGAGGACGATGAGGTCGCTTAATAATACCTCTCAGATGCATAAATTATCCACTATGCAATAAGGGAGCTTCGACTGTACCAATGAATGTGATCGGGAGAGGAAATCACTGCGGTTCGCTTGTGGTTGCGAACGTGGGCTTGGATGATATGGGAGGATGTCCTTCGACTGTCTCCTTGAACGTGGACGCGAGTGTGGGATTTCCTGGTCTGCAATCCACGATTCATGTGGTTCAGCATGGCCTTTCTACGCCGTACAGCCGCGTCCAACGGAACATTCCGTCGGTGCCCACGGATTTTTCCTTGCTGACGAGCTCAAGTTTTGGAGTGGCGGATCTCGACCGCTCGGCTTGTCGCTGCATTGTACCGACACGTACAGTACTCGGAATAAGAACTTGCTCCTGTCACGTTTCAGGTACTGGGCGGGAGCCAAAAGACTTTGGATAGAGGTAGAGAGCAAAGAGGTACCACACGCGCCAACTTCAACATGACGAGACCACCCCGCGCAGCAAATGGCCTCAGGAGTGTACCAGGTTCACCTACACTCTCGCCACTCAACACGCATTCCCCATCGCAGAAGACCGCAACTTTGTTTCTAATCAAATCACAGAAGTGCTAACGACAGTGGTATCGCGCGAGCATATGCATTTCAAGGTTCCAGAACGGACAACAACCCAGGGACAACAACCATTGGTGCCATTTCTTTCATTTCCGATTTTGCGTCATGTCGAAAACTACAACGTACTCGGCGCTGCCGCTGCAAGCTTCGGCGGTCCAAGCCTCGGTGCACCCGCTCGACCGTGCCAGCTTCCTCTCTCGCTGGACGTATTGGTGGGCCAACCCGCTCGTGGATCTCGCCAACGAGCGCCAGCTCAACGTTGACGACATCTGGTTGCTCCCAGACCGCCTCCAGTGCGCCACGATCAGCAACCAATTTCTTCCGGCGTACGAGGCCAAGAACAAGTCGATTCTTCGCGCGTTTCTCTCGGTCTTTGGCTGGAAGGCGGTCGTCATCGGCGTAATGCAGTTTGTGGCTATGCTCGGGTCGCTCTACGGGCCCGTGGTCCTTCAGCAAGTGGTCTCGGCCGTCGAGACGTCGAGTGTCGACTTTTACACGCTTCTGCAGCCGATTGTGCTCCTTTTTGTTGTGAAAGTGGCCCAGGCGGTCATCCAGACGCAGACTACATTCCAGAACGATTTGCTCTACGTGAATTTCACGTCGGCGCTCCAAGACCTCTTGTTCCGCAAGGCTCTCGTGCTGGACGCGAGCTCGCGCCGCGCCAAGAGCACGGGCGAAGTCTCCAACCTTTTCTCGGCCGACATGATGTGGATCCTTGCCGCGTCGTACCAAGCCAACCAGATCTGGATCATTCCGCTCCAGATCACGGCGCTCATGTACATGTTGTGGCAGCTCCTTGGGTCGGCCATGATTTGTGGTCTCATCGTCATGTTTGTGACGCTCTACATCAATCGTCTCGTGGCGTCGCTGCTGCGCACCAACTACAAGGTGATGATGGACCGCAAGGACACGCGCATGAAGACGGTCAACGAGGTCTTTGGCGCGATGCAGATCATCAAGCTCAACGCGTGGGAAGAGCGGTACTACGACAAACTCTCGCACCAGCGCGACGCCGAGCTCCAAGCCATTTGGAAGCAGTCCCTGATGGGATCCATGACCGTCACAATCAACGGCGCCGGCCCGATCTTGCTCACGACCGTCTCGTTTGCGGCGTACGTGCTCTGGCTCGGCGAGACGCTGACCGCCTCCAAGGTCTTTACGGCGCTTAGTCTTTTCGCCATGATCAAGGCGCCAATGATGATGCTGCCCAACATCATTGCCAACTGGATGCAAGCGTATGTGTCGTACGGTCGCTACAACGAGTTTCTCGCGATGTCAGAGAAGAGCGCAGACCTCGTGAGCGACAAGGTCTCGGCCAACGACGTGGCCATCGAGATTGTCGACGGCGCCTTTGGCTACGACGCCGAGAAGCCGCTCTTCTCGAACGTCAACCTCGTCATCAAGCGCGGCGAGTTTGTGGTCATTCATGGCTCGGTCGGCGAAGGCAAGTCGTCGCTCTGCAACGTCCTCCTCGGCGAACTCGACAAGTACACTGGTTCCGTCGGCGTCAGCGGCCGCGTCGCCTACTTTGCGCAGCAGCCGTGGATTCAAAACATGACGATCCGCGAAAACATCCTCTTTGGCCATCCGTACGACCGCAAAAAGTACAACGCCGTCCTCGAAGCGTGCGCGTTGACCAAGGACCTGACGCTCTTTGCGGCCGGCGACCGCACCGAGATTGGCTCCAAGGGCGTCAACGTCAGCGGCGGTCAAAAGGCGCGCATTGCGCTCGCCAGAGCGTGCTACAGCGACGCCGACATCTTCCTTCTGGACTCGCCCTTGTCGGCCGTCGACGCGATCGTCCAGAACGAGATTTTCACCAAGTGCTTTCTCGGGCTCCTCCGGCACAAGACGATCTTGCTCGTGACGCACTCGCCCGACATCATTGCGTCATCGTACATTGACCGGACGATTGAAGTCAAGGACGG